CCCCCCCCCCCCCCCCAACAAAAAAATTTGCAGCCGTCATTTTAGTTAGATTATCCTGCATGAAGGGTCGCTTGAGATACATGAGCAACAGAGGATGGAGAGGCATCAATGATTTTTCAGGTCGCTTATTTTTAATTGGGTAACCATGTAGTTTTCAACAAACATCAGCTGTGTGTAGCGCCGTCACAGTAATGCAGGCCCAATAGAAAGGGCTGAAGTAGCTTACTTTGACTCATTCTTCTAGATAGCCAAAACTAAAGCCTCTGAAACCACATCTGTAACCATAGTAACTTGCCTATATACTTCACGACATACAAATAAGTAGGTCTCCTCTTCCAGACTTGGACAAGAGATGCCGAAACATGACTACTAACTTGATCCAAACTGTGGTCATGACCTATAACATATATGCCCGATCACCAAAAATACGCTCTTTGTTTCACAATATGATAGCATTAAGCCTCCAGTTATCAAATTCCAAAAATATGGAGTATTCAACAAGGGGCTGACCATCTTGACGCAACTAGAATGATTTCTTCATGTGTTCACATGCCTGTAAAAAGTTATAAACATCAAGCTAACTCCTTTTACTGCATCCTAAAAATATTTAGCCGTGTGGCACTGAACAAAATGCAGCATAAGGTTGTTAGTCATGGTACTTGTAGGAATCCCGTAATTTTAGAATAATATTTATAGTATTATTGTATATATGGTAATTAGATTGGAAAATTTTGTTTTCTTCAATTAGGAGATTACATACCTTTTCTCTCAACCTCATTGTACTATAAATAAGGATGTAAGGGTGTAAAGAATTATGTGAAAATAAAAATTCCCTTTCACTGCGTTTATGGTATCAGAGCTCAGCTAGCATTAGAACCGTCAGTCCATGGCGGAAAAACCAGTCAACAACAAAGAATCCAACACCGCCGATTCAATAACAAGCGATGCTGAATCTGTCCCCACCATGAGTTCAATCGGAATGGATAGTTCATCCTTCCAACTCACGGTGGAAAAACTCAATGAGAAGAATTACAGAGTGTGGGCCCAATCAATTAAGCTGGTAGTCGATGGAAAAGGGAAATTAGGATATCTCACCGGTGAAACAAAACAACCCACGGAGACAAATCTTCTAAAATAGTGGAAATCTAAAAACTCGATGGTGATGGCTTGGCTGGTTAATTCCATGAAGCCGTTGATTAGTAAAACTTACCTCTTCATGCCGATTGCAAAGGATATATGGGAAGCGGCTCGTGAGATATATTCAGACACCGAAGATTCATCTCAAATATTTGAAATTAAGACCAGACTATGGCAGATGAAGCAAGGGGACAAAGATGTCACTAAGTATTGCATGGTAAAACAATGGGACTGCCCTGGCGATGGAGTTCGGTATAAAAAACGACTGGAGAATGAAAGGGTATACGAATTTTTGGTCGAATTGAATAGAGAGCTTGATGACGTGCGTAGCCGAATCTTAAGCCGCCGACCACTACCACCTACTCGTGAAGTCTTCGCAGAGGTGAAACGGGAGGAAAGCCAACAACAGATCATGTTGAAGAATGAAGCTGGGCCTAACGTGGAGAATTCAACCCTAGTGACACATTCAAATGGACCGATTATTGGGTCTAACCCTAGTGGGCAGACCTCAATAAATCGGCTGAAAGGTATTAGTGAGTTTGGGCTTGAGGGGCTTGCAGTAAAATACAAAACAATCAAGTGTGAGTGGATTTAAAAATGTTAGGCCTGATGGGTCAACCCAATTATTTAGAAGCAGCAAAAATGGACCAAGCCCAAGACAACAAAAGGAGCGCCCATGGTGTGACCATTGTAAAAAACCTGAACATAGAGAAAACACATGTCGGGATCTACACGGAAAACCAACAGATTGGAAACTAAGACAAAATGCCAGAAATCAAAGTTATCAAGCGGGAATTGACTCCACTGGAACAAAAAATAGCACATCAAGTAGCGCCTTTAATTCTGAACAGTTGGAACAACTATACAAAATGTTTTCCAATTTCCAAACAACCAGCTCATCAGGTTCATTGGCTCACAGAGGTAATTTCTTTAGAACCCTAAATATTACTGCACATGCCAGAGCGCCATGGATTATCGACTCAGGGGCATCCAATCATATGACAGACTCTTATAATCTATTTATTACATATTCAACATGTGCTGTTAATCTCAAAGTAAAAATTGCAAATGGCTCTCTCCTGGAAAAGGGAGTATCCAAATCTCTAAAACGATACAACTAGAAAATGTTCTTCACGTTCCAAATCTGTCATGCAATCTACTGTCCATTAGCCAACTGACTAAAAATTATAATTGCTCTGCTAACTTATTTCCCTCTTATTGTGTATTTCAGGACCTATCATCGGAGAAGACGATTGATAGTGCTAAAGAGATTGAGGGACTCTACTAATTTGATGAAGCCGATGTGAGTAAACAACGTCAATTTGCTAGCTGTGATTCTGCATTTACCTCTTAAGAATAGTGAGATACTATTATGGCATAATAGAATGGGACACCTCAACTTTCAATTTTTAGGACATGTATTTCCCTCAATTTTTTCGAATAAAGTGAATTTTGATCTTACATGTGAAGTATGTGAACTTGCAAAACATCACCGCTCTTCATTTCCAAAATCCACGTATAAACCGTCAAAACCATTTACCCTTATCCACAGTGATGTTTGGGGACCTTCACGAATTCCCAATCGTCGATGACCACACCCAAATCTGTTGGGTTTATATGTCCAAAAAAAAATCTGATGTTCGGTCAGTTTTTATCGACTTCCACACAATTCCAAACACGAATTCAAATTCTGCGCATGGATAATGGCACAGAATATTTCAACAATACCCTACAAACCTACCTTCAAGAAAATGGGATAATCCATCGAAGTTCGTGTGTAGATACTCCTCAACAAAATGGGATTGCTGAATGAAAAAACATGCATCTCCTTCAGGTTGCTCAAGCCCTTATGTTCACTACAAATATGCCTAAATTATTCTGGTGGGCGCTATTTTAACATCAGCTTACCTTGTAAATAGAATGCCTAGTTGCACCCTCAATTTTGAATCCCCTATCAAAAAATTCCGAGAATTCTTTCCTAGCTCTCGAGTCAGCTCAAATTTACCTCTAAAGGTGTTTGGATGCACAAGCTTTGTTCATATTCACTCTCATGACGAAATAAACTTGAACCCCGTGCTGTCAAATGTGTATTTATTGGATACTCACCTACATAAAAGGGATACAAATGTTATGATCCAAACACAAAAAGGTTATTGGTTAGCCTTGATTTCACCTTCTTCGAAAAAAATCCTTATTTCCAAAAATCCTCTCTGTAGGGGGAGAAATCGAGTGAAGATCGATTCTTGGAAACCTCCCTTTCTACTCCATTTTTAACACCACCATCATCACCAAACAGTTCTAATATGCCATTTACAAGGACAACTTGAATTTAGGGGGAGATCAGGAAATACAACGCAAATAGATAAAAGTCTATTTATGAAGGCCAAAATCAAAGGAGGAAAACCCCACACTCGTAACACCAAGAGAGTCAGAATCGATGATAGCTCCAGATCCCCATGAGCCTACTCCTGAACTATCAAATATAGATCTACCAATTGCTCTAAAGAAACCCACTCGATCATGTACCCTTCACCCTATCTCAAAATTCATAATTTACAAAACTTTATCTCCAAGATTTCGAACCTTTGTCTCTAACCTTGACAACACAAAAATCCCAAGAAATATTCAAGAAGATTTAGAAACTCCAAAATGGAGAGAATCTGTGATGGAAGAAATGAGAGCATTGGAAGCAAATGAAACGTGGGATATAATGGAACTACCAAAAGGTAAGAAACCTGCTGGATGTAAATGGGTGTATAATGTGAAGTACAAAACAGACGGGACAGTAGAAGGGTACAAGGCCCACCTAGTTGCAAATGGACACACTCAGACCTATGGAATAGATTACACAAACATTTGCACCGGTAGCAAAATTGAATACGATCCGTGTCCTATTATTATTAGCAGTAAATTTAGATTTAGCAGTAAATTTAGATTGGCAACTCCAACAGCTTGATATTAAAAATGCATTTTTGAATGAGGAGTTAGAGGAAGAAGTCTATATGACATTACCACCAGGCTTTTGTAAAAGAAATGAAGGCAATAATGTGTGCAAACTAAAAAAGTCTCTATACGGCCTCAAGCAGTCACCAAAAGCATGGTTTGACAGATTTGCAAGTGTGTTGAAGAATTAGGGATATCGTCAAGGGCGGTCAGACCACAATATGTTTTTCAGAATATTTGAAGATGAAACAAGGACCATTCTGATCGTGTATGTTGATGACATTATCCTCACAGGTGACAACACAGTTGAGGTAGAAAGATTGAAACTGAGTCTAGCCACAGAATTTGAAGTAAAAGATTTGGAACAACTGCGATATTTTCTGGGAATGGAAGTGGCCAGATCAAGGAAAGGTATTATTGTCTCACAACGAAAATACGTCCTAGATCTACTAACTGAAACTGGCATGCTTGGTTGCAAATCAAGTGACACCCCCATGGAATTTGGGAGGAAGACGGACAACGTGGGGAAATCGGTTGATAAGGACAGGAATCAGCGACTAGTTGGGAAACTAATCTACCTATTACACACTAGACCAGACATTGCATTTGCAGTTAGTGTGGTGAGTCAACATATGCATCCTCCTAAGGAAGCTCATTTAGAAGCAGTATATAGAATCCTGAGGTATCTCAAAGGTACTCCCGGCAAAGGATTGTTCTTCAAGAGAACTGAGAAGAGAAATGTAGAAATATTCACAGATGTTAATTGGGCAGGATCAATGGAAAAAAGATGATCAACTACAGGCTATTGTTCCTTCGTATGGGGAAACTTGGTAACATGGAGAAGTAAGAAACAAAATGTAGTTCCTTGAAGTAGTGCTGAAGCAGAATTTCGGGCAACGGCCCAGGGTATATGTGAAGGACTATTGTTAAGGAAACTTTTGGGAGAATTACAAGTTACAATGAAACTTCCAATCAAACTCTACTATGACAACAAAGTTGCGATCAATATTTCACTCAATCTAGTTCAACATGATCGCACCAAACATGTAGAGGTAAATAAACACTTTATCAAAGAAAAAGTTGATGATGGAACTATTTGCATGACCTATATTCCTACCAAAGAACAAACGGCGAATGTGTTCACTTAAGGACTACACAGACAACATTTTGACGACTTTATTTGCAAGTTGGATATGATCAATATCTACAATCCAACTTGAAAAGGAGTGTAGGAATCCCGTAATTTTAGAATAATATTTATAGTATTATTGTATATATGGTAATTAGATTGGAAAAAATTGTTTTCTTTAATTAGGAGATTACATACCTTTTCTCACAACCTCATTGTACTATAAATAAGGATGTAAGGGTGTAAAGAATTATGTGAAAATAAAAATTCTCTTTCACTGTGTTTAGTACTTTATGAGCAGACTTGACCAAAGGTCTTCAACATTCATCATAACTCGGATCAGTCTCCAACGGTGTAACCTCCAATCCTATGATGTAGCCCGTCTCCTTCCGACAAGCAATATGCATCTCTAGAATGTTAGACTAGAAATGGTAATTAGCTTCATCCAAACTAAAATGAATAGGTTATGTAATGTCGTGAATAATCAGAAAAGAAACATTCTTCTTGTCAGAATCAGTCTTTTTTACTTTTAGCAGATAATGACAGAATGATAGACCCCCAATAACATCACCCATGTAAGGAGAAAGTAAGGAAAATGAATCCCAGTCAGCAGAAAGGCAGCCAATGCAGCAGATTAATTCTGTTATCTATTTCAGTTTGTTTGTTATCTTTGATAGGGTGGGTAGTTGAGTAAGTGGGGGTAAATGCAAATAAATAGGGATAGGGGTTTGGGGAGTCATTCATTCAGTGAGATGTCTTAAGTTTAGTGGGGAGATATCCGGCCTCTCTAATAGCTTGGAATTTGTCATTCAGTTCTTGTTATATAAAAATCACATCATCAGTACAATTCAATAGCTAGTTCATCTATTTTGCATCAATTTATCTTCCTAATTCTCGCTACAGAAATTATCACCCAACAATCAGAGCACTAACACCTCCACATTCTGCTACAGCACTTAATCCAGAGCGGGGGTCATCGCAGCAGCCTACAGTTAAGTCTGCAGGCAGGGATTCAGCAGGGCAGCAACTTAATTAAACAAACTGAAGAATATCAACTGAGGAAGATCATTAATTTGCCAGACGTCTAGGGCTTACTAGATGGCTGGCTCAACCAAGATTGTGTGACGAGAACGGTCTCACAGTATCCAATAGTAGTAAAAATCGATCAGAAAACACTGAAGGGCACTTGAAAGAACTAACTAGCTGCAATCTAAAAGTTTAGGGACTGTATTCAACTTTTCAAAATGTACAAGGACTAATTTATAATATTCTGAAATTTCAGGCAGTACCCACCTTCCATATATTTTTATAGACCCCAATCCGGTTCAGAAATACCAACATAGTTGCAGCCACATCATCTACTATTCTAGAATGTTCACTAATCAGTAGAAGGGAGAAAATGAGAAATAGTGCTATAGAGGGAAGGGCTATAAATGTAATAAGGGGGATATGTGAGTATATTCATGGGCTGAGATGTTGAGAAAATAGTGGAGAGAACCAAGGCCTCTCGAATGCCTAGGATTGTTACATTTAAGCTCTCTTTTCATTGAACTAATCAAATCCATTGATACAATAGAGCAATTCCTATTGCAATATCTTCCAAATCCTATTGTCTACTCTGTAATCAATCCTTTGTTTGATCCAGCAGATTCACACTATCATCAGCAACATATCAGCCCTTAAGCGGCAAAAGCAGATCCATAGGTCCACAGCAGCAATAATACAGTATTTCAGCAGAGAAGAAGCCTCTCCAGCAGCACCAGCAGTTGAGCTATCACCTGTAGAACCAGCAGCAGCCATCTGGAACCTATCATATTTCTACATAATTCAAATAGTAGTATAGCACTATGCAATATTCTGGAACTTCAGGAACCCACTTACACTACTAGAAAAAATTCGAAGGACAACCTGCACAAAATAAACTTCAGGACCATAATTGAGAAAAGCCAAATTGAGAATCAAACTCTCCCAACATACTGCTGATCCACACCCTACCAAAACAGATGTCACCAAGCAACCATAGATGTCCCTCAAACGATTTAACTTGTGGTAAAACAATGTAGAAGATCTTGGCAGCAAGAAAGAAATTGCAAATCAAATGAGTACTTCTCCAGAATGGTCGCAAGGATAGTAGACCTCGTCAGCATGGTCATGACTTCACCAAGATGTCACAAGAATGAGGAGAGAGGATAGAAGAAGTTTCGCACGACCCAAAGAGAGCCATCGGGCATTGTCGAAGAAGATTAGAGATCACAGGTAATTTTCTCTGATCAGGGAGATCTTTGGAGTGGTTGCATGAGTTCTAGGGTTTCTTATTTTGGTAAATAGAGTTCAACAATATGATACCCTAATTTTCAGACCCAATTTTAGATTAAGGTGTAGGCAGAGATTGTTGGAGCAATTTAAAAGTAAAGGGTAGAAGGAGCAATATAGAGGTAGATGTTCACCAAAGTGATTTAAAGGTAGAGGGTCGTCAGAGATAAAGGTTTGTTGGAGGATTAAGCCCGAAAAATAATTTTGATTGTGAGTTCAATCTAAGACAGGATAAAACTGCTCTAATACCAACTTAAAATTAAGGATCAATGGTTTATCACACACTCAATTAATCTTATATACAAAAGTACAATCCTATCAACAGAAGGACAAGTAAAAGGAAAGAATATTAAATCCTTTTACTAGAAGGAAAAGTAGAATCATAGAGCTAATAAACCGACATGGAGCAAAAGCCAAGTTGATATTAGGGGACACTACCCTTTTAACAAATTACCAACGAATAAACAATGTAGACCTTCAGTACCCATGATTGCCAACATTAAATGAAATCAATGAGATCATCATGTTATTGCTGATACTCTTCTAGTTATTATCCCTTTTCTCCTCATGGTTTTTAAAACTCAGTGGATTAGCAACATTTCTGCACTAATTTACTGTCCCCTCAAGGGCAAAAAATAACACGTAAATTTCACCAAGATGCTAATATTGCTTCAATATAATCTGGAATTCATCAAATTTCCTTCGCACTGAACTGAAGTAAATGAGATGCAAGATGACCTTACCTGGGGAGTGAGGATCTAGCATTAGATTGGTTCACAAAAGCTGAAAGAGGACTGCGAAGATTAGAATATTTGTTCAGAGCACTTTCAAGCTGTGGTGATGGCAACTGCAAGCATGGGTCAAATGTTAGGAGCCAACAAAGAAAGCCCAAAAGGACAGGGAAATTACATCCATATGCATATTGACCATACAGTACCTGTAACAATACACTGAATGAATGTGGCTGCGTTTGCGAGATACATTTCAAGAATCCAACCCACAATTTTGGCATTCGCCACACCTGTGGCCAAGATATTGGAAAGAGCGGGTTGTCTTTCAAAACTTACATAATAAGCAATAATGTTCAATAGAGGAAAGGACCTGATTCCAGTTTTCATTAACATACCTGTTTGTTCACTAGTTTGGACAGTATTTCCATGACAAAATCAACCTGGAATCAAGTAAAAGTGTTACTAACACTGCTAGGTCTTCTGCATGGCATTAATTCAATAAATTAAGGCACTCATGAAACATCAACAGGAACTATACGCATATTATTAAGGAAATAAATCAAGTAAATTAGGCAAGAGTATAACTATATATTATTGTATTTCCATATTTACCAAGTCTCCATATGTGTGTGTAATCTCGTTTTACTATATAGTGGAAGAAGGGGAAGAATATTAATCTTCCTCTCTATTGCTTATACCAACTCTCACATGAACTTAAACATGGTATCAGAGCTTCATACCTAGGGATTGAAACTTTCTGCCGCTACCTCTTCCGAAATTTTTTTCCCTTTTTTTCCTTTTTTTTCCTTTCTTCGAACTCTTCTTGTTCTGCCTTCACCCATGGAATAGTTGATTAAGGCCACGCCGTGTGTAATTGGTACCCAGTGTAGTCCATTGCCGGCTGTAGGTGGTGTCTCCTGGTTCTATTGCCGGTTGTTGGTTGTCCTATTGTCGGTGGTCCTCCATCGGACCCTAGTCCATCACGCCCTGTTCCTCCTCTGTCAACCACTGGTCCTCCTTGCTGTCAGCGTCGATTATTAGAAAGGGGTTAGTGTCGTCTTCCCAAGCCTGGTTCATCATGAGGGTGAAATACAGGGTGCAAATCCCCATCTATGGCAACCCTATGATTTCTTGCATCCAGTTTGGTGCCTTCTTCCTCACTGTAATCTAAGTCTTCTCCCTTTTGCTAGGTTTCTTTCCAGTTTGGTTGTGTCTAAATGGGTTCGAGTCTGTACTTCACAATTAATGCAGTCAGCATCTGCGTAAGATTGCAAAGAGCTTCGTCCATCCCCTCGATTTGCTGTTTGAGTTCGTCGAGCCTCCGTTCGTCGTCAGCAGTCCGACTGCCACCAGTACCTTCGTCGGCCATCGGATTAAGGTTAATTTCTTGCTCTAATACCAATTTTGGTACGGAAGCGTAATAAAATTCTTATAATAAGAATTGAAACGTAGTGTTATATGTGTAGGAGGAATAGGGAAATGATTGACCATTTGTTCCTTCACTATAACGTTGCTTATTCCCTGTTGATCGATATTCTAGCTTCTCAACACATAGTTTGGGTTTCCCCACGGTGTATGGAGGATGTGTTGAAAACATGACGGAGAAAATTTCGTAATAAGAATAGCAACTTGTGTGGGACCTCATTCCAGGGTGTTCGTAATAAGAATAGCAAACTTGCGTGGGACCTCATTCCAGGGTGATCGTTTGGTGTGTGGAGGGAGAGAAATAACTGTTGTTTTGACAATCATTCAAGGACTACAGAGCATATCGAAAAATCATTTTATTTGACCTGGTATAATTGGTTTAATGCTGTGGCTACTAGTATAAACGGGCTACTCAACTTTATGTCGTTTCTTTCTTATATAAATTGATAATACACTTCATGTGTATTATCCGTGATTAATAAAATATTTGATTACTTATCAAAAAAAAATTTATGAATAACTTGCTGGTATTGATTGAAGAATAACCGATGATATGAAAATTTTACATGACCCCTATATTTATAGGCAAATTATCCCCTAATCCTAATAGTATTAGAAAAATGAAATAAGGAAACCATAATCCTAACCAACTAAAATATTAAAGTCCTAATCAAATAAAATATAAAAGTCCTATTACAACTAAATAAATAAACTTAATTAAAAGACGAACTTCTAGAAAACATAATTGTAATAAAAAACTATAAGTTTAATTGTACTACATATGAACCCAACATTTCATGAAGGAATTAATAAATAATAATCTAGCCATCTTAATAATTCTAAATATAGTTCTGAGAATAACCTCCGAATTGCCTGATATCAATTTAGTAGGTGAGGTATCACCTTGCGGTTTAATATACCATGTGGGACCCAACAAAAACCATGAACAAATAAGTCACTGCAACCAGACACAATAAAAAATCCAGAGCCGCATCATATTATAGTTAGCAGAGCCAACCGAATTTACCAGTGCTGGAAATGCATCAATTGCTTGGATTACAGTTCTCATGAAGAGCAGCGGGAGAGGAGTTTGATCAACCTAGAAAGTGAAACACAATGAGCAAGGACCAAGAGATCCAAATGTTGAATGCTGAGATTCTATGCATACCATCTGGTTTAAGGCCTTTGCCAGGACCTGTTGTGTAAAAACAGTCCGCTGTTCAAAACAAGCCGAGCAAGCATCTGTGATCTGAAAATTACTCATATTATAGCATTATAATAAAAACAAGGTTGATATGTGTTACAAATTTAAGCTTCAATCACCAGAGAAACTTCAATGCAGTAATATAGTGACAACTGTATTGAATGGCTTAGTTAATACTTTAAAGTCTAAAAAGAAATATAGCAGGAATCAAAACCTCATACAAGATATGTTCAGTAATAGCCACCAGGCCCACCACAAGGTATTTTAGCAAAAATTTCACAGCTACAAAAGGTAGCCACCATAAATCCATTTGATACTACTTGATAAATCCATAATGGGTATTGAACTTTAAAGCAATGATAAGAGTTCCCATGATTTCAGTACATTGATTCAGATCTTTCTTTGTTCTAGAAGATTCAAAACTCCAGTGTTACCTTCTAAAAACAAATATTTTATCAGAATAAGCTTAAATAGGTACCTTTTTGAGTGGAAGACCATCTCTCTCAGGAATGATGTCATGAATAGCTACCAAGACTTCTGCTGGTGTCAATGCTGGACCTGTTTGAGGAGAGCCCTGCAACAAAAATTAAAACAAAATGAAATTAAATGAAATAAACTATTAGAAACTTGTAAGAACAACATTTAGAATCTAATTAAAATCAATATAACCAACTTTTCATATAAAATGACTAACTAGATATTTCATATTTCATAGATAGTAACTGCCAGTCAGATGTCAATGAAAAAATAATCCCTCAAAAGATCAAGACAAAAAGAAGATGCAGTCATTAAAATCAAATCTAATCTTACCGAAGAGTCGACCAAACTCCCAGCATCAGTATCAAACAGAAAGATTATTCCATGAAAACATATGTATCTAGGCAGGTCAGCGCTGTTATTGATAATTCCATGTTAACGTAAATTCTTTTGCCAGCAATTGATAAAACACACCATCATAGCATGACAAGGAAACATACAATCAGATTCCAGAGAAAATAAAGGTCCTTAGTTTCCCTTGAGACATGTATAATCCAGCTTGAGATTAAAGAAACTTAAGAAATTAGGAATTGAAGACCGACACTTCCATGGTAATCTAATAAAATTTCAACACAGAGGAAAAGATATTCCACCATAAATATAATTCTCATGGAATACAAGAAACAATAGATCACGGAGAGCATCTTAGAATGAAAAGTATCAGAACGTTTTTTTAAAAGCAACAAGATTTTATTAACTATATATATAGCTAAAATAAAAAACACAACACATTTTTTCAACCCTCTTGAACTCCTCTTGGTAGAAAGCCATAGATATAATAAAACCTTGCATGTCCCAGAACTCAGAAACTTGCTCATTTCCTTCAGAACCAAAGAAAGAGCCAAAACATACTAGCAGAACTAATTTTTACCTGTAGGATATGAGCCAGCGCTGTCTGAAACTTTTCCAATGGAAGGTTGACAAGACGAGGAAAAATAGGTAAAACCTATAATCATAAACAATTAAAATCCATAACAACAGAAGGAATATGGATAAAATTAGTCTCCAAATGAAAATATGTGAAGTTTCTCAATTGAAATCACCAAAAATCGGGATAATAAAACAATAAGGACTAATTTAAAAGTACCCTAACGACAATTTTCTCAACTTTTTAAGCAAATCTTAGTAAAGATCTCCTTACATGCAAGAAATATACAATAAAAAGCATTTTATCCCCTATCTTACATGAATTTTAGAAGAAAAAAGCAGCCATCAAACCTATTTAATATATAAGTATCAAGAGCACCATAAATTTATCAGCCTCCAAGCTCCTATGGTCTCTGAAATTTTCAAATTTCAATAAGAAGGAAAAGTACTTGTCCTTGCACAATTGCGGAACATTATTTCTCAATTTTTAAATTTAGTAGAAGGATGCTTTCTTATATGATTTTACAGACGCTAACTCACATAGCAACGGTACCTACGAAACCCACAACTAAATTGATTCACAACCCAAGAAAGCCAAAAAATCAGGTTTTGGATTTGACCCAAAAAGTGAATCAAGCAACCAACACAATCGATATGTTCACCTCTCGATTACAATATTCGTGAATCTCATCGTGTTTTGAACGCTACAAGAATTTGATTCTTGATAAGTTCAGGAATATGCTCAAAGAAGAACAAGATTAAAAGCAAATTATGCCTTTCTATTAATCTCTCAAAAATAAGGACATTAACCTTATTCTTACTCTTTTGTTGCATTTCTTCTTATTTTCCTTCAGTTGTAGTACTTTCCCTCTTAATATTTTCCGTTATTTGTTACATTTCTTTACTTTTGGGAGGTAGGGTCTATGTCTCCCTTCCTTTCATTCTCGTAAGTTTAATTTTAAGTATACAGTTGGAGAATTCTAACACTCATCAGGCCCCCTGATGGTGCTTAAAAACCGAGGCCGTGTTTGTGTTTTGCTTTAAAAAAAAAGGGAAAAGAGCTAACGAATCACTTGTGAGGTCATTTTCTAAAATAATTTATTGGCAAAGGTAAGTAATGTGATTTTTTTTTTTTTCAATAGGATAAGATTAACAAAGTTTCTTGTACATTTTCTGAGCAAAGGATTTCTACTAGAATATAACGTTTCAAACACTTCAGATAATTCTTGCTTATTGTTGAAACAGACGGGACTTCATCCCACAGTTTGCACCCATGTACCCGCAAAATAAATAAATAAATAATCAAACATCGTATAATAATATCAGACATTTCTAGAAGCAGTATATAGTTACCTCATCTCTTGAAAATGATGATAGTATTGGTATAAGAATAGAAGCATCCTGTCAAAGAAAATATATAATAGTCCCATGAGGACCAAACATCACAAATTTACCACTGAATGATCTGAAAAAAGAAAACAAATATATGCCGGTAAATAACCTTCAGTTTGGTATCATATAATTGTTTGACAGTGGCAACTAAATCAGGTGGAGGTTCAAATAATACATGAAGCACCTTCAGGTGAAACAATTCAATGTCAGGTTATGAGGAGAACAGTCCTGGAGATGTTTTAACAAATACGAAGCGTGAAGCTTAAAGAAAACTACCTGTGTCAGTAGCTGTTCACTTCCTTGGGGCGGATCAGATATTATCTGAAGCAACTCGGAATATGATGAACCCAGAGCCCTTATAAGAACAGGGGTATGACGATGCACAGCCTACAGCAGCAACACAAATTTATGATGCTGGAAGAAGCAGGTAACAGAACTAAATGCTGTACGAAACACGTAGACCATAATGAAAGTGCCTCTTTCCTGATAAGCAAAGTGGTCATTTTCAACAAACAGATGTATCACCACTATAGACCCTTGTCTTAACAGTTTCTTTGTAAACTCTAAACATACTATTATCCTTAAATAAAATTTGAAAGATGTTGTCCAGCAAAAGCCAAAACCAAAACACTAAGCCATTTTCTTTTTATAACAGAATGATCAAGATTTTTCATCAAAGCTGGTCAAACTTGATAGCTTCAGTGGCACACAATAAGATGAGATAGAAAGTAGTGGCAGGCTGACATAGAGACGTGCCATGTAGCAGGTGCCGAAGTATATTCATTATGTTTCCAAATGTAAACCATGACCTAAAATTACAACAAAAAGATGGATGATCTCAAAACTGTTAAACCACCTATAAGAAGATCATTGTTAGCCAGGACAGTGGAATTTTCCATTGCAGCAATTTTTAATTACATCGAGTATGAAACAAAATTTAGTGACTTCAGAACGTTTTTTTAAAAGCAACAAGATTTTATTAACTATATATATAGCTAAAATAAAAAACACAACACATTTTTTCAACCCTCTTGAACTCCTCTTGGTAGAAAGCCATAGATATAATAAAACCTTGCATGTCCCAGAACTCAGAAACTTGCTCATTTCCTTCAGAACCAAAGAAAGAGCCAAAACATACTAGCAGAACTAATTTTTACCTGTAGGATATGAGCCAGCGCTGTCTGAAACTTTTCCAATGGAAGGTTGACAAGACGAGGAAAAATAGGTAAAACCTATAATCATAAACAATTAAAATCCATAACAACAGAAGGAATATGGATAAAATTAGTCTCCAAATGAAAATATGTGAAGTTTCTCAATTGAAATCACCAAAAATCGGGATAATAAAACAATAAGGACTAATTTAAAAGTACCCTAACGACAATTTTCTCAACTTTTTAAGCAAATCTTAGTAAAGATCTCCTTACATGCAAGAAATATACAATAAAAAGCATTTTATCCCCTATCTTACATGAATTTTAGAAGAAAAAAGCAGCCATCAAACCTATTTAATATATAAGTATCAAGAGCACCATAAATTTATCAGCCTCCAAGCTCCTATGGTCTCTGAAATTTTCAAATTTCAATAAGAAGGAAAAGTACTTGTCCTTGCACAATTGCGGAACATTATTTCTCAATTTTTAAATTTAGTAGAAGGATGCTTTCTTATATGATTTTACAGACGCTAACTCACATAGCAACGGTACCTACGAAACCCACAACTAAATTGATTCACAACCCAAGAAAGCCAAAAAATCAGGTTTTGGATTTGACCCAAAAAGTGAATCAAGCAACCAACACAATCGATATGTTCACCTCTCGATTACAATATTCGTGAATCTCATCGTGTTTTGAACGCTACAAGAATTTGATTCTTGATAAGTTCAGGAATATGCTCAAAGAAGAACAAGATTAAAAGCAAATTATGCCTTTCTATTAATCTCTCAAAAATAAGGACATTAACCTTATTCTTACTCTTTTGTTGCATTTCTTCTTATTTTCCTTCAGTTGTAGTACTTTCCCTCTTAATATTTTCCGTTATTTGTTACATTTCTTTACTTTTGGGAGGTAGGGTCTATGTCTCCCTTCCTTTCATTCTCGTAAGTTTAATTTTAAGTATACAGTTGGAGAATTCTAACACTCATCAGGCCCCCTGATGGTGCTTAAAAACCGAGGCCGTGTTTGTGTTTTGCTTTAAAAAAAAAAGGGAAAAGAGCTAACGAATCACTTGTGAGGTCATTTTCTAAAATAATTTATTGGCAAAGGTAAGTAATGTGATTTTTTTTTTTTTCAATAGGATAAGATTAACAAAGTTTCTTGTACATTTTCTGAGCAAAGGATTTCTACTAGAATATAACGTTTCAAACACTTCAGATAATTCTTGCTTATTGTTGAAACAGACGGGACTTCATCCCACAGTTTGCACCCATGTACCCGCAAAATAAATAAATAAATAATCAAACATCGTATAATAATATCAGACATTTCTAGAAGCAGTATATAGTTACCTCATCTCTTGAAAATGATGATAGTATTGGTATAAGAATAGAAGCATCCTGTCAAAGAAAATATATAATAGTCCCATGAGGACCAAACATCACAAATTTACCACTGAATGATCTGAAAAAAGAAAACAAATATATGCCGGTAAATAACCTTCAGTTTGGTATCATATAATTGTTTGACAGTGGCAACTAAATCAGTCTTCCCTTCAAATAATACATGAAGCACCTTCAGGTGAAACAATTCAATGTCAGGTTATGAGGAGAACAGTCCTGGAGATGTTTTAACAAATACGAAACGTGAAGCTTAAAGAAAACTACCTGTGTCAGTAGCTGTTCACTTCCTTGGGGCGGATCAGATATTATCTGAAGCAACTCGGAATATGATGAACCCAGAGCCCTTATAAGAACAGGGGTATGACGATGCACAGCCTACAGCAGCAACACAAATTTATGATGCTGGAAGAAGCAGGTAACAGAACTAAATGCTGTACGAAACACGTAGACCATAATGAAAGTGCCTCTTTCCTGATAAGCAAAGTGGTCATTTTCAACAAACAGATGTATCACCACTATAGACCCTTGTCTTAACAGTTTCTTTGTAAACTCTAAACATACTATTATCCTTAAATAAAATTTGAAAGATGTTGTCCAGCAAAAGCCAAAACCAAAACACTAAGCCATTTTCTTTTTATGACAGAATGATCAAGATTTTTCATCAAAGCTGGTCAAACTTGATAGCTTCAGTGGCACACAATAAGATGAGATAGAAAGTAGTGGCAGGCTGACATAGAGACGTGCCATGTAGCAGGTGCCGAAGCATATTCATTATGTTTCCAAATGTAAACCATGACCTAAAATTACAACAAAAAGATGGATGATCTCAAAACTGTTAAACCACCTATAACAAGATCATTGTTAGCCAGGACAGTGGAATTTTCCATTGCAGCAATTTTTAATTACATCGAGTATGAAACAAAATTTAGTGACTTGTGTTGATCATTCCAGGAAATAATTAAGGATAATTACAGAGAGAGAATCTAGTAAGCTATAACCAAAATGCAAAACTTTAGTTGTTCACATCTATTACTTGTTGGTGTAAATACGTGTGCACACTTATTCAATAGAGGAAACATCAATTTTAAGATCTCCAAACACAAATAACCTCAAATCATGCCAGAAGTGGGGCACAATAGCATGCAGAACATGTATCACACATGGCATCCTCCCACGATAATGGTTTAAGTGGCTTTCATGAAGAGTAGCAGAAAAGAGGGTAGTAAAGATAAAAGTTCTGAAAAAGCATTGCAGTTGAAAACACCAACAAAGGTAACTCATGCAGAGATAATTTTGGAGCGATAATGAAATATTCAGAGTACAAAGAATAAACAAAATCAACGGACAGAGACCTGCTTAACAGCCTTCGGTGCACGTGCATAACTATTAAACACAAGTTGGAGAAGGCTTGGTTTCTGCAAGAAAAGAAAACCATAGTCGGACAAAGAAGTGCTAAGGGGGTCTACAGATCTCTTTTCATCATTTGTCAAACGAATACATGCCAACCAACCTTTGCACATAATGCAAAAAACAATGAGATGAGTCGCTGTGCTTGAGAAAATGAAATTGCTGAATCAGAGGTGGATTCTTCGGCAGCCTTAATGGTGTCATTTTCTGAAACCCCAGGATGTAAAATTTGAGAACCACTTACAGATGTTTCTTGGCTTCCCACCTGAAAATATATTTTACGGAGGAATAAATGCATGGTTAGAATTAATACATTCAGCCCTATACACCAAGAACAAAATCAGGTTATAGCAAGCAACAACTTGTTTTATGCATAGCATGGATGATGAATAATTTCAAATATTCCAAAATAAAGCCCTCTTTTTAACATGTGTCTCGCATAGAAAAATGTGCTCAAACTTTGAGAATTTAATGAACTCTGAGAACCTCTATCGGGATTAAACATTAACTGTAATTCAATCCCAATATATGCAAACATCATATGGTGTTGATAACAACCTAAAATGCAGTGCAAGGAGATACAATGAACATGTGCAAAATTGATTCATATAGATAGTTCATTCTTGTAAAGAAGCGAAGGATGCTCCAATAAACACTGCAAAACCAAGAATTTCACATCAATCACAGATAATTCAATCATCTGTTTCCATCAACTTAAAACAACAAATTTCAGTAAATACATGAAATAACCGCTACAAAAATAACATGAGAAAAAACAATATCTTCATCTCCCTTGCATCTTCCCCCTCCCCCAACCCCAACCAAAAAGCAAGAGAGGTGTGTGGGGGCTGGGGAGGGCGGTAAAAATAATGTCAATTGTACTAGTCTAGGTTAGACAAATAATTTCACCTTTAAAAGAGAACTCTAGTCCCACTCAATCAAGTACGGAAAACACTGAAAAAAAATTACGTAGCTTTTTCAAATGAATTAGTTCCAGGATAAATACCTTTGTTACGTTTTACTTACCTAATGATAGGATAATAATCAAATGAAAACAGACAGAATATTCCTACAGCTAATATTGTAACCAAATATTAAGTCCAATAGAATAAGAAAACAACCCAAAAAATGTGATATCACTTTTGAAGCATCAAAACGGTGTTGCCATAGCGAACCGTCACAGGCTAAATACCTCAATTTGAAGCAAGTAGGAAAAATTATAACAAGATTCATTTTTGGCATATTGCTTGCCCCAAAATCCATTGCTGCTTATGCTGGATGAGTTAAAAACAATACAGATGAAGGATCTTTTAAGGACCTCTTTCCAATCCAATCAAACTAAAAACTTTAAACCCAAGCTGCAGCTCAACCTCAAGCTCATACTCAAGGACATAATAAGAAGTGAATATCCTAGTTCGTGACCACTCTTCGTTGTTAAGAGCACGGATAGTAACATGCTGGAGAAAATATGAACAAAGAAATGGCAAAAGAAAAAATTATATTGAAGTTGGAGGAAATACTACAAGACAAACAGAAAAAAATAAAATACGTCACACACCTGTCTTATTCTTTGTTTGTCTGATACAGATTGTGAAATCCCTGTCTCTGAAACATGCTGTTCTACAGCCGACAAGAACATATTTGTCGCAAACTCTTCAATGTTTTCAGCAACGTTGCTCATCGAGTAAAGTTTGTTAGCCACCTGACATGCACAGAATCACAAGTTCAAAAGGTTTTAGAACAGAAACAATTACGTTAATCCATAGTCTGATTTCGCGGACAAACAGTCCCTTAAATAGGCAACCCCAGTAAGCGATATTGAACCCCCTGGACAGCGCAAAAAAAGAATAGAACCAAATTCCATACCAGACGGATAGCTTTTGCTCGAATATCATCCAGTGAGTGAACAGCGCACTGCCATGTGGAATTACATTAGAAAGGGAACTATATTTTGCTGCAACAGACAAAAGATACAAATCTGACAAGAGGAAGCCAGCATTGCTTCTGTGCCATGCATTTTACACATAATAAAGTACAAATGGATCTGTCAGTCATTTTTTTCCAAGTTTGGCTTTTAAGAAGTCAGTTGCAACTTATGGTCTGATAAACATAAATATATTCCAGAAAAGGGGCGAATAGATAAGATTAAAATTGAATAAACGGTTAAACTGACAAGAAAATAATGTTATGCGAACAAATATAAGTATCCTCATTAACATAGCAAAGGGCTGATTGCTTGAACAAATATAAGTTTCCTCGTTAACATAGCAAAGGGCTGCAAATTAAGCAATCAAGGATAAAAGCACTGTACAGGTAAAACTTTCAGCCTATTTTGTAATGTGAATACATTTGACAGCACTGTATACCAAACAAAAATATATCTGATTCTTCTAAGTTGCTGTTCAATATTAAAGATCAGTGCTTTGATTATGTCAACTAAAAAAACAATCAGCAAACCTTAAAAGTAATCCAACTACTAGTTAATTACTTGAAAGTTAAGCAATCATGAACGAAAGCATTATACAGAGAAAACTTTTAGCCTAATTTATAAACTATTCACATTAGACAGAACTGTTTGTACCAAGCAAGAGGATATCTTATTCTTCTCGTCCTCTGCTCGATACTAGTTATCGGTGTTTTAATTGCAACCATTACGAAAAACAATCACCAAAACTTAGAAGTTATCAAACCTATAGCCATACAATTAGTTTATGCATGGGACTGCATTCCATACTATTGTTTAAATTTTTACTTCTGCACTCACATTACATATTTATTCTCATTTACACTTATTAATTTAACATAACATTGCATCCAAGGCGGTACCCTGGGCCGAGGTGTTACTCCGTGGTGCGTGCAGGCCTTTTTTAATGTATAAAAAATTAAACAAACAAAAAAGAAGAAACAGCCATTGTTGACTTTTGTTCAATTTTTTTCCTTTTTTTAGGGAAAAAATCCTGTTAATATCCCCCAAATCCTCATTTCAGTCCCACAACATTCTATTCTCTAATATGTAAAAAAAGTTTAAAAAATTCACAATCTCGATCTCTTAATTCTTTGAGTTATTCATTCCATACTATTGTTTAAATTTTTACTTCTGCACTCACATTACATATTTATTCTCATTTACACTTATTAATTTAACATAACAGATCAAAGACAATAATTTTAGTTGGAAAAATCATGGTGACACTGGTCATTGAGGAGCAACAGTAACAATTGTTAAATTGAGCGCGAATGTCTACATGCGCACAAGCTGAACTTTCATCTGTTAAAAGGGTTTTAAAAATCCCAATTGATGCCCGCTTCAGAGTGAGGCGAGCAAAAAATGCCTCAAGGTGCTGGCTGTGAGGTTTTTGAAGTTGTAAGCCTCAATTAAGTGAGGCACACGCCTCACAGCACAGCTCAAGGCTTATATAGTGTTTGCTCCTTAATTCTCTATACTTATACTTCGATTTAGGTGTGGACACACAAAACATAAAAACTCAGATTCACCCATTCTGGAAATAGCCCACTACCAACTAAAGCATCAAAAAACCGTGTTTTTCACATGCCCACTTTGGGAATAGCGCACTGCCCCACTAACTAAAATAGTTGTTTCTTTTTGGTTACTTCATAGATTCTTCTTTTGTTTATTTGCATTCTTCAATTATTCTATTATGAATTTTGAAGATTGTTTATAACTTATTATGAGCTTATATTGGGTATTTTAATAGATTTTTGACATCATTTTTATGAGGGGAAAAATCTTGGTACCAATTACGCCTTCTTAAACGCGGCCAACGAACTCATACTAATTGGTAGGGGAGATTGTACAACGCTAATGCATTTTAGTCAACTTAGATTAACACTATTTCAGTGTGTATCCTATTCCTTTAAACATGGAGAATCATTTCATCTCCCAGAATTCTTCACATACCCTTCAGGTGTAAAATATATTATTATTGATAAAAGTGCTATGAAAACTTCAGAATCTATGCCTCCAGAAGTGCCTCCAGAAGTACCTTCAGAGCTATCCCCAAACAGGCTTCACGATTGAGTGGCCGGCCCAAAATCAAGCTCCAAACAACACCAAGGCCTTGAGTGACACGGTCACCATCACGACCATCTACTCCAGAATGACTTCGAGTGCATAAATCATCCAGCAGCCTCAATACAGATTCAGGTAAATAAGGAACCTCTCCAAGAAGTCGACTAAATGATTTATTAGTTGCTGGGAAAGCATCTAACAAAGATTTTGCCTACAATGGAGAAGTCAACATTAACAACTTTGCACTGACAGTAACATGTCCAGTGAAAAAATACCTACCACTTCCAGAAGGAAGTTTTCGTACAAGGAAGCAGCAGATGAAGAGTTCTGAAACGAAGCTGACAACATAAGAGCTCTTAGATGATAGAGAACATGCATTACAAGCTCGTGTCCCTGAGAAAAATTTCAATGAGAACAATGAAGTACAAAAATATTACAAAGAAACAGTTAGTAAGGGAAGTACTGACAAAGTACATTTCTAGTAAAAAGATAAGAGTACGGTAGGCAGAGAAAGTCAAAGCTGCTCCTTGTAAGCAATGAATATAGATGATCATAGATCGATAAGCTTTTGAATGCCAAAAAAAGGTGTTTATATCCTTAAATTTGTTAGTGTCTTTGCTCCTATGGATATAATTACAAGTGTACCAAAGTCACCATACTCCATGGCTCATTTATAGCAGGAGTCATGACAGCTGAGGTGCTCAAAAGCTCTTAGCTTTCACTTCTCTTTTCTACATTTGTTTTTGTTGCACCACCTTAAAACGTAATCATAAGCAAAAAAAAAAATCCACATAAAAGATTTTAAGAGTTGCACCAAAACTTTATGAAAGAAGTTGTATAAAAGTCAAAATAAAACTAATTTTCTACCCAAAGTCGTTACCTTTCATAACTCCCCATTTTCAGTCGAAAGGCAATGTTATGATAAAATCAACACAGAAGAAAAGAAAGATGTTCCAGATAATCAAGAATGGACTGGAGTGAGATAAGGGTCAAGAAAAGAGAATTCAAGGACAAACAGCGACGACTCGACCTCGCACATCAGACAAATTGATATCACTTCATAGCAAGCCACTAAAAGTAAGTTTGAGTATCTTTCCAATGGATCTCATACAATGTACTAACTTCAGTCATTTTTTTATTTTTATTTTTTGGATAAATAATCGAGTAATTTTATTAATCAAAAGATAATGCATGGGATATGTATTATCAATTTAAATGAGAAAGAAACAACATGAAGTTAGGCAACCCTTTTATATGATTAGTGGCCGCAATATTAAACTTCAGTCATATTTTGATGCATTCAAAACTAAGATTTGAAAAAATTGACATAAAAGCATCAACAAGAACAAAATCCCTTCTAACAGTTGTCAACATAAAATCTTAGCTGAAAATAAATAAATAAATAAAGGAATTCAATATCTAAAGCATAACATGCAGATTTATTACTATTAGCCAAATCATAATAACTTTAGAATCAAATTTATCATATTAGCAACAATTTGTAATGCTGACGTGGCATCTAAAATTTCTCTTCTACTATGCCAACTCACAACTCAAATCCCCACCCCCAAAAAAGATATAATAATACATTATTGGTCCTCAATTTATTCCCCGAGTGCAACTCAGTCCCCAACCTTAAAAAGCAAAAAGTTTATCTGCAATCTCTCGCACAATTAGTCCCAATGGACAGTTTCCATCCACAAATTCGTGAAAAGGTCATTTTTTTACTAAAATGATGTTTATATCTTACTTTTTAATTAAACTAAGAAATATAAAGAAAACCAAAAGAAAGAAAAAATAATAATAATAATAATTATCATCCCTACCACCCCACCAAAAATCCCCCAACACAGCCCCACCCACAATCCACCCCAAGCCCCTACCCTACCCGTACTCTCTCTTACCGTCGACTCTTGGTCCCTCTTTACCCCCTTTGTGTGACGTCATCAACTTCATCCCAGAACCCATGACAACTCTAAAACAAGCCCAGGTCTATTACTTCCATAGTTCTCTACCTATACTCAAATATATTTCTTGTCTGAATTATTTTGTGCAACAGACATAACCGTAATGCATAAGGATATATTTGTCTGGAATGATTTTTGCGGTTAGATTGCTATAACTTGTGTTTTAGGGCTAGTAAAATTTTGGTCTAAAACCGTTGGAAGGAGGCCTTCTTCGCCTTTCACCTAAGCTACACACGAAAAGCCCGAACCTAATCCAGGTAGTCAGCATCTGTCACTTCTCCATCTCAAACTCTGGTTTCACCAAAGCCTTCTCTACAGCAGAGTGAAGGTTTCTCAGACTAGGATTGGAAATAGATTAACAATCTTCATCTTCTTCCACTTTTTGGATCAAATTAATTAGGAATGAGGTTCTTGCAACCTCTGATAGAATCTAGAGAGAGAGCAGGGGGAGGGTCAGGAGCAGGCTCGAGATTGGGTTTAGTGTGACAGTGGTGGTTGGTTTATATTTAATCTTTCTTTTTTTTCCTCCTTTTTCATTGTATTTTCTTTTCATTTTATTTTTCACTTTACAAATAACTGTACAAATATGTTTTTTAGTTAAAAGTTAATATTTTTTGGGATAGAAAGCGTCCACTAGGATTACTTAGTGAAAGGCCGACGACAAATTTGCTCTTGTTTAAAGCTTCGGGACCAATTTACTACTTGGATGATAGAGTGAGAAAAAAAAAATTATACTGGCTGGAGGTAGTTTGGGCGTTGGTGTTTCTTGCAATGTTCCCAAGTTTTTCTGCTCTGAAGTTTTGACGGATGAATATCTTTATCAACTGAATGCCATCAAAATCATAATTTAAAAACTCAAAAGTAAAAGACACGTTTCACAGAGTGAATCTATTTAGCTTACTGCCAATGGCTCGAGCCTTGTTCAAGTTAACAAGTTCAAGGTCATGAAACATCCAAACTTTATCCAAGAGCTCTATGGTGTATTTTTGGGGCTACTCACCACTCGAAAAGGATAAAATTTAGGGCTACTACTAGGAAATTAGTTGCTTCCAATAACTCAAGTAGAAAAATTGATCAATAGAAAGATAGCAACATTCTTTTGCCACAAGAAGACAAGGAAAACAATGTGGGAACCTTTTCAGAAGATTTGTAAATTGGAAATATAACAGTTCCTACAGTTCCTCTTTCCTACTAGCAAGGCCAATTTCAACCCTGGAAAAGAGGTATTCCAGATTTCTATCCTCCATTTAAAATTTCTTGAACAGTGTTCTTGGGTAGAAAGATAAAAAACATTCTTTTTCCACCAAATTGGACACGAGCCAGCAAGCAGACAAGGTAGGAAACCAAGAGGCATGTAAGAAGTTTGGAAATTGGGAATCCTGTGCAACTAAAACAAAAAACTGGATATATAGCTACTCCTTAGGTGTATTCAAGAAGGAAAAGAGGCACAACTCTAAATGCAAATTCTTGACCAGAGAAAAGAGGTAAACCTAATTTCTTCCCTGCCCCTGAAAAACTTCCTGAAAATAGCAGACAATCCAATTTCCATTAAAAATTATCCTCATTTTGAGCCATATAACCCCTCTTAAACCTCTTTACAAGCTTATTCCCCAAGTTAAGTTTGAACTTGTTCCTAAGGATGTAAAGGAGAGTCTAAGATTTTAGGTGAAGAAGCTATCTTTAAGGAGATCAGAGCTTTGAGGAGAATGAGAGATGGGATTGAATTACCAAGAGAAAAATGATGGTGGTTGTTAATGGGTGCTTTCTAGTAAATATAAAGTAGATGGATCTATTGAAAGGTAGAAAGCCCAGGAGCCAGCAACACACTCAAACTGTGGGATTGATTACTTTTAGACACTCTAATCGCAATAATATATCAAAAAATTACTCACAGCAAATATTAACTTGCGTCGTCAACAGTTTGATGTAAGAATTACCTTTCTCCACGGAATTATAGGGAAAGAGGGATCTCAGTTTGAATTATGAAAAAAAGGCAGGCAGCAAAAAAGCATGACAGCTGAGGAAGTCATTTTAAGGGCTAAAATGATGTCACTAAATCATATGTTTGAAGATTATTAAAGCTCTTGCAACTATGGATTTCCAAAGCCAAGGAAACCACACTTAAATTTTAGCATTCTACATTCATGAAAGTCATTTAGTTCATTTTGATAATGATCACATCATTTGGCTACATATATCTATAGAAAGCATAGTTTCGCATATCAGTGGACAGTGTAGAAACTTCAATTCATTAAACTTCACAGACATCATCGATAGTCTGTAGAGCAGGGACAAAAGCGATACCTTTTGCTCTTCATAGTCTGTTAAAATTCGTTTTTGCATCATCATAACCACATCCGAACCGGCCTCAATCTACAAGAAAAAGATACATTGGTAACAGATTATTCCTCAGATTCTGAGCACTGAAAATGTGCTACCTTCAGTCAGAACAGTGTAAAACACTATAACTTTGCAAGATTAACAATTTCTAGGTGTTAATCTTTCCCTCTGCGCATTCTACAGATTAAATATTAAGAGATCCTTACAAGTAGGGGGAAAATGAAACAGGACCTACGAAATTTTGTGTCTAAGCTCCCCATGCTTCTGAATTTTCATTTAAAAAAAGAACTAGCCAAGGAAGCAGCAAAATTACATGCCGATTTCTGAAGCAAATCTATTTAAACACTGAGTACAAAAGATATACAATTGTTTAATTCATTACAAAAGCAGTTGTGGAAACCTTAGATCCTACCTGAGCAAACAATTGAGCAAGCAATGCCATTTGTGTCTGCATGAAATCTGTTCTTTGAATATTCTGGTAAGCATCAATTATTCGTTCAAGAGCCAGTTTAATCACAGTTCTTTGATGATCTTCATTTAGCTCCATGTAAGGAGGAAGCAGAGCCAACTGATCAAATTCAACATCAGAGGCCTCCAAATTTGAAATAGGTGGTGAAAGTTCATCCATTTCTTGTGATGATGGCGAATAAGCCTCATCAAGCATTATGGCATCCAATGATGTCTGTGCTACAGTGTCCTCAATTTTGCTGAGAGTGGACAGGGGAGTATCCAAAGCAGCATTTCCTTTACAATCTGTTATAATCTCTTTGGCTTCCGTATCCCGAACTTCAACTTTGGGAGTTGATTGACCAGCTTCTAATTTTACAGAGCATTCCAACAAATTCAAATCAGTTGCAGTTTCCGGCATAGGAGATACTGAAACACTTTCGGAACTATGCTGACATGGCGGCACAGGGGTTTGACTGAAAGAACTAGAATCATCAAAATCAGGTTGTAAAGCATGATCACTTGTATTACTGTCGACAAAAGATGGTGGTGGAACTTCAACAGGTGGCACCATACGCCTTGGATCAAGTCGACGAGGATCCTTGACCATTTATCAAATGTTAACCACACAATTATGGAAGAAATGAACTCAAAGCGCAAAAAGAAATAACTAAATTCCAAAAAGAAGAAAAATATACTGTTATACAAGTAGACAATGCTTACCCTTCGTGGATCACGTTTGGAATCGGAAGGATGATTACTGGAAGGGGGCATATCAGAAGATGGAAGGCTTGTCATGCTTGATGAAGATACAGGTAGTTGAGCGGCAAGTCCCAAAGTCTGCATGGATAAGGAACCATTTGGTGCCACACCCCCGGAGGGACTTGGAGAATCACTTTGACAATTTAATTGCAGGTTATCAAATGCTGTGGGGGGAAAGGGAGGCAGATTCCTCGGAAAGTGCTTCATATTAGTTATGACTATCTCTGCTAGTAAATCTGGATGAATGTTGGATATAAGAATTTCAAGAGATTCAAAGCCTCTTTCTCCTTCTGCAATTAAAGCACCAATCATGGCAATCATCTGTTCAACAGGAGTCAGATCCTGATCCAACAGAGGAGCCTTAAGAGATATCCCGTCGACGTGATCCTGCCCAGCATCATTCACGTCAAGTCTTGAATCTGTGACACCTTGAGGGCCACCATAACGTAACCTTTTATAAGTTACATCATTAGTATTATTTGAATCTTCATTCTCCATTGGTGCCGACCTTTTCCTCATCATATCTCCTAAAATAGGCAGCTGATCTGATTGCTGGTCATCCTGAAAAGGCAAATAAGTTGCTATGGTGGTGGTGAATAAATATCAGGATGCAGAAATCCACCAGACTACATGAGTACGACTCCAAAGAGATAACAATACTTAAATCAATGACTGCTTCCAACAGACATACCTTGCTCAACCGCAAATCCCGCGAAGCACGCTCATTACTTCTCATAATTTTATCCACTTGTCGGATAACATGATCAGCAGCATCTCCTGCATTCATAGCTCGTAATGCCTTAAGCAATCTCTCTCTCGACTGGGGAAAAAGAACGAAAGGATTTCAAGGATACGTCAAACATTAGAGATTAACCCTTTTTTTTTCTTTTTTTTTTTTTTTTTTTTTTTTTTTTTTGGTTCTGGCACAATTCCACTACCAACATATATGCATATATAAATTAATATATTAACTAGAAAAAAAGTTCAATATTACAGGGATTAAATATAATTTGGCATTTAACTATGATGGGTACAAGCAAAGGGAAAATATATCAATGAACTGGTAATTTGTAATATAATGGCTCGAGTAAAATGCATTCTATAATTGAAGGAAACTAAAGTTATAACATGTATAGCATTCTCTTTGTGAGAAAGCAAGACCACAAGTTCAAGAGCTTCCACAAGTATAAAAAGAACTATTTACTTTGAAAGAAATGTCATTGGAAAGATTCTGACTGAAGGCTAAGACTTCGACACCTCTCTGGCAAGCCAATGTGGTCTACAAATCATCAAACTACCATTATCATACATCAGTAATATTTTAAGTAAAGCATTACCTCAACAATGACAGGTTGAGTACACCTCATAAATCCTAAAAATGCAGTTCTTAGAGAATACTGAATAATATGTTGACCCTTCACTGTCTCAGAGTTCACATTAAAGTCAAGAAGTGCCGAGAGGACGGAGGGATAGTACATAGGTCTTTTCCTTGCTATCACTGCAAGACTGCAAACATGAGATCTATTGTTAGACCATAAACAGAGCTGAAACATGAATAAATAGTACAAGGATATCACATTATAAACCAGAACTCAAGTAAAACAAAACATAAACTTCTACCATATATCCTCAATAAAGGAAACAATGTAACCCTCTGAAAAAACATGGATGGCTGAAAAATAAAAAGCTAAACCATAAAAATTTAAATGACATACAAATGCATCCAAAGAAAACAAGAAATAAGTATACCTAGAACTTACTGAGGCCAACATGGTGTGGGGGTGGGGGTGGGGGGAGACATGACAGCAAACAATAGGGAAAATGCAGGCAGTACACAGTGATTAATAGAGATATCAGATCAGAGAGGTCTATCCACAAGTTCAGAATAATCCAAATAGTACTTTTAACAGTTAGACATGCTCAATGTATGCAAGTTTCTTTTATCAACTTGAGCTTTGTTTGATTCTACCCTTTCCCCCTCTTTATATACATCCCATAAAGGCACTAAGTGATACATCAGAAGCTCGTAAATATTATATATGCATGATAGAAATTCAACCAAAATAGGGAAAGCAATATAACATCAAGTCAAATACAGATTCTCTCAGGATAAGCGCCAAGGATAAAAGCTAACTGGATCCCATTAAAATGCTGTTGTATCAGTGTGGGGATTACATATAGAACACCATTCCAAAGGAAATGAGGATAAAAACAAAAGGAAAAAAAAAAATGTGAGATAGGATGCGGAGAACTATGAGTAAAATTTGAGGACAATGATTTCATTTTTTCACTTTGGCAGTGGGTGCTCAAAAGCCAAACCCAACAACGCTTAATTTGTTGCTTTGTTATTTGTGAGGCTACAAAATTTACAGCACAATAGAAAATGACAACCCCAATTACCACAAAGTATAAACTCTGTTCAATTTTGTTCTCGTGAGACTTTTTTACCTGCCGATGGATTTAATTTAAAAAATCTCACAAGCTCATATATGTCTAAGTGAAAACCAACATCCAAGAAGGTTTACCAAACATCAACACGAGATGAAATATAATAAATAAATATGTTAAATAAGTTGGCAATGCAAACTAAACCTAATAGGCTAATACCTCATGTCATGAAAAAATAAAAAATAAAATAAAAGGAATCTCAAGATCATATAACAAATTTGTGAACAGAAAAAATGAATTTTATATCGAGCTTGACCACCAAGTAATGAAAAAGTAGCAAAAGATAAAGTAAGATTGAGAAAAGAAAATGAGGAAAGACAAGTAACAACGAAGTTTCAACACCACTTGATCTTTTATAGATTCACTTTTATCATTTTTCTTCTGGAAAAATGCAGTTCTAAAAAATATAGAAGCGCAGATTCAACGTGAAAATTCTTCTTGCAATATCAAAATTTGAGAAATTAGACTTGAGATAATATCTTTCACACAGTGGAAGTTAGTACACGATGCACTCTTCAGGGCACCAGAGCAGAAATAGGAACTACTCAAGCATGGAACCATCACTCAATATCTCTACTATGTTCTTCAGTCGAATGTAGTAATCCATTACGTAGATGGCTTAGAAAGTAAAAACAATTATAGTCAACCATACTAAAGAAAGTGAAAACTCAAAAGCCTGCCAACGTTGGACAAATTCCATGGCACATATTATTTCTTTTTTCTTGGAAAACAAGAAAAATCAGGTATCAGTACCCCCTTAAACTGCATTAGTAAGCTTCTAAGAGGTGTTGGTTGGCACAAAATGCAATAACCACGTTCACTCGCTAAGCCAGGAACACTTCTCCTAGACCCAAAAACTATGCTACCTCTAGGGAAGCCAAAACAATCACAGTTTATCTTCCGCTAAATTTCTCTCTGCGATAATCTATCGCAAATGAGATAACAAAAGAGCTTAAGCACATTCAATTTAATGTCGAAAATTAAAACAAATTTGATGACTTCAAAATCCTGTTACTACAACTAACACCAAAAAAAAAAAAAAAAAAAAAAAAAAAAACCCACCATATACTAGCTCCACTTCAAATACCCGCTCAAGGCTTCAAAGATCTTGTGCATAATGTACATGATATGCAATTCTGATCAACAGAAATATAAAAATTTCAACATTAAAGTCGAATGGATGAAGAATTTAATCCATTTACTGGAAAACTAATATTGTATCTTATTCAGCAGTGGTTTGGTCACAAGAACTATCAGCTATCGTAGAAACAATATTTAGAATGAGCAACCAATGACTGGACCACTGTAAAACTGCATCTTAAGCCTACCAGATCAACCATTAGACAACACCATGAACCAAAAAGAGAGAGAGAGAGAGAAACTATGAAACTTAGACTACTTAATTTGTTTCTATCTGAGAATTTAATGGTGCAATAAACAAATAGGACCCCAACAGAAACACTTCAAGAAGACCCAGGCAACCAAGAATCAAGATGCCCAAACAATGAAACCAATCAATTGAGTTGCCACTAGAAGATTATTCTGCAGTAAACATACAACCATATTGAACAGGATAACAAGTTCAATCTTAAAGAAAGGTCGCAGTTTAGCCAGCCTCCTCCAGTTACTAGAAGTTGATGACAAACTAGAACCAGTATGTGAGCATTATGATTAAATTTGCACCTACGACTACAATTAAGCCTTTTTGCCATAAGATAAAATTAGCTTGGCTAGACAGAAATAAATGAGGGTATGTAGCTATAAAATTACACAATTTCTTCAAGGAACTTTTCATTTTAAAAATAATCATGAAACTAGAAGCCTCATAATGCCATAATGAAACAAACAGGGTAATGACACAAACATTAGAGCAAAGTAGAGTTCTTTAAAAAATAAAATAAATAAATAAATAAATAAGAGCAAGGTGGAGGTAGAGTAACATTTGCGAGCAGTTGTAAAGTCAAAAAAAGGTACATACATAACAAGACCCAATCAAATGCTAAGCATAGAAAGATAAATACAAAACAAGACCCCACAAAATGCCCAGCATACATTACAAACAAGTACTGGTGAATTCTGTGTTTTATAAAAGTTACAACAAAATTACTTACTGCATGCACAATGGTTAAAAATCTTTAACCAGCTAGCTCAAATATCATCTAATTACCCATTACAGATCCATAAGGAAACTCAGCATCCCCGTTTTCCATAGACTCTACAGGGAAGTTCGCCAGCTGGTCAAAAGATTCCGTTTTCTCACCATTCCATAAAAGGGACAGAACTAGAGTGGACACAGAGTTCATTATAAGATTTAGCCAGGCTTCAGGAATTTTGTAGAAGTACCGGATTTCCATAACTAGACATTCTTACACAATTGTACTACAAGATAGCACCCCAACCATATGTCAGGTTGCCAAAAAACTAAGAGCACATAAATGCCCATAGAAGGTCGTATGTGATGAGGTGTACAAGCAAAACATGATCAAATGCAACAAACACAGAGTTCATTATAAGATTTAGCCAGGCATCAGGAATTTTGTAGAAGTTCAGGATTTCCATAACTAGACATTCTTACACAATTGTACTACATGATAGCTCCCCAACCATATGTCAGGTTGCCAAAAAACTAAGAGCACATAAATGCCCATAGAAGATCATATGTGATGAGGCGCACAAGCAAAACATGATCAAATGCAACAAACTTTAACTCACCACGTCATCTTAACCAAAAGAGTGAGATATAAGATTCCAAACCGGTAAGCATATTCTACGAAGGTTTCAGCTATATTAGGGATGGCACTTTAATTAGCTTCTGGAAGTCAAAAAAAAAGAATTTACTGCATTATTGCATCATGCTAGCCTAGTCACTCAGGAACACGAGTATTAATATCAAATTGTTTTAATAATGTAGAAAAATTTATGCAGTTCACATAAAGGCACCAGCCTATCACAATTTGTGTGAATTAAGCATCAACCAGAGGTCCAGTAGCTAATCAACAGAAATAGAAAAACCAACAGCTGCAGCAATAAACAATACAGGAACAGAGAATTATTAACAAACAAAGATTACTTTCTCATCCCAAAATTCAGACAAAAGTAACAGCTGGGCTCATTCATTCCTAACAGAAAATTTCAATCATTAATAACAAAATAACCTTAGTTTGCAAGTGCATAATGAAACTTCCTCAAGCATAAGTAGCAATCAGTGTCTTTCATTAAGCAAATACCTGAGCAGACGTATGATATGTTACCGTAAAGTTGTTTTTCTATAAATCCTCCAGAGATAATAATTTTAACCACCCATTTTTTGTCCATATGTCACTTAAAATATTTTATGTCGACAACAGCAAACTAACATGCCTGAAATTGCTTTTTGAATTCAATTGAGGGAAGTTTCTGAAATTACCTTTATTAGTTGAAAAAATAACAATGTGGTCTATTAAAATCCATATCTTCCAGAGTGGCAAAAATAATTGGCTTGCTCTATATTGAACTTAACATTTATAAACTCACTAAAGAAGCTAATGCCAAGAACAGTCCTTCTCCACAGATCATGAAGAATGCTACACACCACATAAGAATGCTTCTCAAGTGCAGATCAAGAATATATGCATACTCCACCTCCTGGCCCACTCTGAAGATACAGTAATTACAGTTGGTATTTTGACATCTGATGACAATCCAAACTGGACTTCCTTCTCCAAAGTAAGTTGGCTATGTGATTCAGATCATGAAGTATACTACACACCACACAAGAATATGCTTTTCAAGTGCGGGTCATGAATATATGCATACTCCACCTCCTGGCCATTCTGAACATACAGTAAATACAGTTGGGAATTTGACATCTGATGCATAACTTAATATCAGCATATTGCCCATACTTCTTTGTTCTATCGACATTATGTACAGAAAATTCCCTGTTATTTTTATTTAATACATGGTACAATCATGGTTTTCCCAAATTAACTTCTGTTTAAAAAATTAGGAAGAATTACACCACTGTTCTCATGCTCGATGGCATTTTACATGATCAGCAGAACTAAATTCATCAGTAGATATTATTACGCAGATTAATCAATCATTTTAATGTTTGTTTTCCAAAATCTTGTTTCTCACGATGCTCTCAAATTTCAATTAAAGTTTAGGAAAATGAGTTGACTGCAATCAGGAACACATCTAGCTGTTTGATGATCTTATGTGACGGAGGAAATGTATCTTGTAGATACACATCAGCTAAAGGAGTTCGTATTACTGAATAGTGTTATGTTGAAAATAAAACGAAACCATTGGCTTTCATGATTAAGGTCAGGAAATAAACCACAAAACCTGCTTGCTTCCAGAGGGAAACAGAAGATACAGCTAGAACTGATCTTTAGATCAGAAAAAGACCAACAAACCAACGAACTTCCACAGGGAACACAATGAAATGAAATTTCAGCACGGAACTATAACAAGTATGGCAGAGCAACACCATCTACCAATGATGAAAATGATAGGCATATATATAATAGCATCAAGATTTTCTAAAAATATATACATTTAAAACAGTATTTTACAGCATCACGCTACAACTGTACGTATATACAAAAACCTGTTCTAATAAATGATGATAAATGATTTAAAACCTGTTCTAATAAATGGTCCAAGTAATATGGTCTCTCAACAATAGCAAAAGCACTAAATTGCTTGCCCCAATATTTTTTAGAGCAAACCAGCCGGTCTATGAACTGCCAATGTTGGTGACATCAGCTAACTCCTACATCTGTTATCTGACCCACCAATTCTGCATCCCAAGCGAAATGCCATTTAACTCTGCGTTAAAAAGCTGGGCAGCATACTGCAATAATTAGCACCGAAAGGCAATTGAACTTATTCTACAACCAAATTCAAGCTTCAGTGATCCCACAAAAAATTCTAAAACAATGGAACTGTTTAAGATGTGTAATTCACCAGTACAAAGAACTTCCCAGAGGCTTTATTTGCATGCAATTTTTCGAACAAATTTTTGGATATCTTCTCTTCTTTTAGAAAATCAAGCTACAAACAATAGTTTAGACTGTATAATTGCACACTCTTCACTATGAGAGATGATCATTGAAATTAAAATCCTGGTGAAAACTTATGCTGAGATATATTAAAATCAAGCAAAGTAATAAAATATAAACAGGCATAAGTGCCAATTGGCATCTCAGATATGAACATATTAGAAACTGGATTGTGTAGAGGATCATATTGATGCATGGAAATACATGAATAAGGCACCAAGCCCTAATAGAAATATGAAGACTTGTGCACATGTGTATAACACAATAACAATAACAAGAGAAATATAACCACTTCACTACAGAACAACATTGAAATACATGAGAGCAAGTAAAAGTCATGCATCTACCAAACGTCTTGAAAATGGATAAAAATATCCATGGATATTTGCAAAATACATGGTGTAAAACCTGAGACACTATAAAAATCGGCAAAAGATATTAACATTCGCGTAGAAATGTGCATTAAGATTGCTTGCAGATGCAAAACAACGTGATTATCAATCTTCAAAATTCAATTAAAAATACAAACAATAAACAAATATATAAAGATGAAGCAATGACAAATCAGGTGCTCAATGCAGAAAATATAAACATAGATCTTCAAATTTCCAAAGGGGAAGGATGCAGTTGGTGACCCAGTTTCTCATGAAAACTAATTCACATGAATTAAATATGGAAGCCACATACATGCTTTCACATCATCTGGAAGAAGGACTAGCAACCAGGAATTATCAGTTGGCCTTTTTTCCTCTGAACTCTAAAAGATCCAAACTGATGCCGATGTCATACCAAAAATTTTATTATATTCTTTTGTACAATTAAACAGTGATACATCGCGGCAGTTTATACAAAAATTGCAGAAACATTTGCGACCTTTGAACAATTTAGTTTGTGAAGTGTTATCCGAAATCACATTTACTAATCATTTAATTCAAAGAGAAACCTTGTAAACTCCATTTTGGATCTCAGATATTAAACAGGAAATTACACAGGAGGACCTTCTTACATTTCGAGTTCAAAAGAAATTTCTAAGACAAATGTAATACAAAGTCACATTTACTAATCATTTAATTCAAAGAGAAACCACGTGAACTCCATTTTGGATCTCGGATATTAGACAGGAAACTAAAAGGAATATCTTCTAACATTTGGATTTCAAAGAAATTGTTAAGTACATGGGCTATGTACAAATTTAGGGAGACAAAGTTCTGTTTTATCCATGCTTTTCCTTTCATTTACAGGGAATCCAACTAAACTGAAAAAGTTGGCCACATTTTATTTTCACTTTTAGAATGATAAAAACTGGGACTTCTATTTTCTCCAGATTACGCTTTTCCAAGATCCAAATGGAGCCCAATTGTTACTACCCAGAGTATAAACCAACACTACTATTTGTCAATTATTAATCTACATGAGTACTGTAGTATAAGCAACCTGTGTTTCTAGGGAAGGAGACACATCCAACTTTAATCAGGAGCACTTTGGGATCTTATACACATACCTTTCTTGTTAATGAATACATGCACATTTGTTTTAATTGTGAGGCCTCTTATGGCACCATGGGAAGCAAAAAAGCCATCAGCTGGATGCTTAAGGCAGAGGTGGTGCATAATTATATTTTCTTCATAATTCTTCTTCTTTAATACTTCGGAACTCTAAACGCCCACAATCAAGTTTCTATACAGCTCAGTGTCGTGATGATTAACATTCATCTCTACGTCATTTTCACACAACAATATAATCCTTATTTTGAAGTTAGCATGTTTTATCAAGTCGCTTATTTCTTGAAAGTGATTTTTCAAATTTGAATCCTTGAACTGTTTCCTCCCTCACGTGTAATTTACATCATCCACCAACAAAGAGTAACTGATTTTAGTTTTGCTATTGCTGTTTCTTTTAAGTCTTTCTTAAGAGCTCATCGTAGCATGATAAGTGTAATAAATGTGCAAAACAGGTTTTTGCATGTCCAACAAAGATGTATATGACAGATTAGCTACTGGATGCTCACCTATTAACAACAGAAATTGTCAATGAACCAGGAAGATTGCCAGCTGATCGCAACAAATCCAGTAAAATTCCAAAATATCTATTTGCATCTGATACAAGTGCAGGTAGATCCAGAACAGGATGACAATCAACCAGCATTGAGATGTTAAATGCCATTCCATGCCTTGTAGTAACTATAGCCAGAGCATAATCCAAAGTATAAGGCATAAAATCGGAGGCTCAGACAAATGTGGCAATAGTTTGGAAAAATGACTAAATTAAAAGGTACAATATCACAACTAGTTTCCGCAATCAAATACAATTATCCTAACGATCAATAACACATTACCTTCTGGTGCAACTTTTTCATAATCGTTTGTATCCTGTGTAAAATATAAAATGTATGTTTCCAGAAACTTTATTGCTAGCAACTTTGGACCAACAGAACCAGCCTACAAGAAGATATCCAGGCAAAGCTTCATGTCAGTTATGTAAGCATATCTCAGCAGCAGAAATCCATGCAAAAGTTTTGTTTAAAGTTGCATGCTAACGAAACAGAAAAAATATTCTCTCTTGCACAACTAAATCTAGGAAGAAAAGAGGCAAGGGTGCATTGATAAAATGAGTGTGCCTTCAAGGAAAACGAGAATAGAAGCATGCACATAGAAAGAAGAATCAGAGCATACTAGTTGAATTTACCAACTTATCTTCAATCTAGAATATCAGATTCTAGATCATAGCCTAAAATATTTTTTGGACATTTACAGGTTAATATTTTGTTTCTTACAACCATCACAATATAATGGTACCCCTTTCTTTTAGGCCTAAGGAAATAAGAAGTGCAAGCCAGCTTCTAAGGAGAAAACATCTAATTGGGAAGCGCAATATTAATACTGGACATTAGGTGAAATGCCCAGCTAAATGCTACCAATATATGAGATGTGCAAGAAGAAGAAGGCTGCAAACCAGGTAAATAGATTCTGCTACCACTGATGTACGTAATGTATGAGAGGTTGAGAGCGAAATAAAATCGTTTGCAAATCTTACAAATCAAGGACAAGAAGTTCCACATTATGCAAATAGTTCATTTTTAAGAGGTCATTCTTCCATACAATTGTTGGTTCACCAAGCTACCTGGTCGTTCATGTACATTTAAAAATCTTACATCACCTACACAATGCACCATTTTTTCAGATAACAGATTTTGTAATTGTAATTTTTGGATAATATATGGTTAAAAAGTAAAAAAAAGCTACTGATTTACATATAAAATTATTTTATTGAAAGAATGTGTTGTAAATATTTCATTTTTAAGAGGTCATTCTTCCATACAATTGTTGGTTCACCAAGCTACCTGGTCGTTCATGTACATTTAAAAATCTTACATCACCTACACAATGCACCATTTTTTCAGATAACAGATTTTGTAATAGTAATTTTTGGATAATATATGGTTAAAAAGTAAAAAAAAGCTACTGATTTACATATAAAATTATTTTATTGAAAGAATGTGTTGTTGATAATAAGGTTTCAATGGTCAGGTCTTGAATTTACTCCTCAATGATTACCAGTTCAAGTCCCCTCAGAGCCACTAAGGTGAATACCCAACTGTAAATTTCATAGCCCCATGGGATTAGTAGAGGTGCGCGTAAGCTGACACAGACACTCATGGTCATAAAAAAAATAATGAGTTATTAGGTAATGATATTTCAATTTCTATTAAATCAATGGAAAATTTATACTTGTGAATTGGCTATAAGAATGTCATCTTTATCTCTCCCCATCATGTTGTGCAATGTGTAGAAAGGGAAGTCTTCATAATGTGTAGCTTGCTTTTATATTGAGACTACAAGATGGCGATGGTGTAGACTACTTAAAGGTAGTGGTCATTTGGAAAGTGCTAGTTTTGACCATCTCTTGAGTGATTTAAACAGCAAGAACTATAGAAACTTTGAAGGAAGAGAGCAAAAGGTTACTGAGTTCTAAATTCTGTCATCCTATACGGAGTTCAAGGGGATTTCTTTCTTTTTAATTTTCGAAAAATATACTGTAATGTTGACTTTATTTTGTTTGATATTAGAGGATCCGTATCCTCTTAACAAGTCTAGTTACACCTCTGTAATCAATAAAATCACAATTGTTATCATAAAAAAAATTGTTGAAATTATGCACGATAAAAAATCACCTCCCCCTGTTCCCAGATCACCAGGTAACTAATGACACTCCCACCATTTCAAGTTGATCTTTTGGTTTCCTTGTCTGTTCCGACATATTTCTATTGTATAAAAAAGTAAAATTAGATTCAGATTATATGCCTCAACAAGTTAAAGTGGGAGAAAATTTTGCAGCATAAATACAAGAAATGTCACCAATTTTTACCTCCAAGAAGGGTGTAAATCCTAAGAACCAAGTATAAAGTGTTATATCACTCCAGTATTTATTGAGCGTTTTAGTTCCCATAATAAGTTAAAACAAAAAAATTGAGATCAACATAGCAGTTTACTTGTTTCCCAAGCTCAGCTCCCAAGCACCACTAACACGACATTGACATGGCTAAATGTGATATTTCAATTGATGGAGCAAGGGAGTTGTTCTATCTTCCATAAATTTTATTGTTTTGGGTTTTAATTTAATAATATCTCAGGTTTAGTCAAACGAGAAAAGGTTGTGATGGGCGCAACTAAAACTCACTTAAACCTCACATTTTGAAATAATGTTTCCAAAATAAAAAATAAAACTAAAATCTACAGCAAAAATTAAATTTCTGGGAGCAAGCCTCACAAGCCTTGAGGTGTGCACCTCATTAAGGTGAGGTGTCTGCCTCAATTAAATGGTATAAAATGAACCTTGGGGCACTGGTCCTACGCTTCACAGGCTCCTTTTTAAACCATGGTCGTAACTGACTAATTCAAAGGTTCTGAAGTATATTCCACCAAATTTCTCATTTTAGATCACTTTTTACAGTTTTACTACTGCTTCATTCATTTTTCTTCTTCATTATAGACATCCTTGATTCAGGTAGCAAGTAGCATTAGCGTTAAAACTATTATTTTGCAGTCACAACCAACTTAAGATTCTTTTGTTGTGGCATCATGTATTTAAGAGTTTCTTTCAATTATAGTCAAGAAATACCATTCACCCTACTAAACATTTGGCACCCCCAATACAAAGTTTATAGCTCCACCAAGTACCACTATAAAGATGCACTCAAAAATATAACAAACAAGCACAGAAGAAAAGAACTCCAAGCCAAAAAAGTTAAGCATCGGATAATACAAAGCCCCATGGTCAATGTCCCTGGCTGCATAAGACTATAACATAATCCAATTCAATAACAGTAGGTAATATATAAAGTTACAGTAAACTACCGTTGATGGCCTATCCCCTAAATACATAATTATCTGATTTATATGCTCTGACCACCAGGCGTAGGCAATAAAAAATGCATTGCCAATTTAAATAAAAAAATTTGATCTAGTGTTTTTTGTTTTGAGTTAAGAAGAAGAATTTATTACTTGAAAGAAGAGAAACATTACTGTAAAGTATAAAAAAGTAGCAAAAGAAATGTTCATCAATCTCTCTTGAATATTTATACCTCTATTTAAAAATGGAAAATGGTTCAAAACAGTGTACTTCACTTTCACACAAAATTCTCATGATCATGAATATTGAGGGCCCAAAATATGCTAAAACCCACTACTAGTTGACAGGAAATGAATTGTGATAGTAATCATTCAATGGCATCACAAAATGAAGGCATGCGGTAAAACTACGTCCACCAGCAACTTATACGCACCTCAAAGATAACGTTGAAAACAGCATCCTTGTACTTAATCATCCACATCCACAGCTCTTCAAGCCACCTCTCAACTCTACCACGCCGTTGAAACTATAATTTTCAAATATGGTTAAAAGTTTCACATGTATACAGAGGACGGTAAAACTGGAATTTTGGAAACAATAACAGTACAGGAAGACAAACAAAAGAATACGGATTCTATAAATGAGACTTATTCAAATCTTAGGTAAAGCTTCGTGACCATGGAATTTGCAGTCATCACTATAAAGAATTCTCTCAAAACTCATCATAGAAAAGTAGAACAAGAGGAATACAGAGTTCAAATTTCAGCAACTTTAGAAGGCACCTCACTGTAGGAACCTTTAGTAACTTAACACAACATATGAGCTTTGCATTGAGATGAGACAGAATGCAGAAAAATCGTGATCACAGCAACTACAAAGAAAAGGAAGCAGACGATGATAATCTGGAATAGAATGCAATAAAACATTTCAAGTGGTTTCATTTTAATGGGAAGCAGACAAAAGACAGACATATGGACATGCAATCACGCTATACACAACAGATAAGATAGAAAGAGACCTGCAATGATAAGTCTTCCAACATGCTACATAAGATCTTTGTGCCGGTGATAATAGATTGCTTTGCAACCATTGAATTATTATCTTTTAAGAACTTCAACAAGATAGGCAACAATATGGATAAATGCTCCATACATTTCGCTCCAATCTCATCAATTACTCTGCCAAACACATTCGATGAAATTAGAAGGAAGCTACATAAACTCATTACATGGCAAGACAAAGTTGGACTACATAAAAATATCTAGAAATGCAATATCAACATCACTAATATGTATGCAACGATTTCTAAAGCCAGAGATCAAATAAGAGGGCAGAGGAGTAAGGATGATAATCAGATAACATTGCACTGCCAAAATGATTTTGACAGAAACTAATTAATGTGATTCTTACGCAAACAGTGTACTCTTTCTCTTAATAGTTTAAATTGTTAACCTTGTACTACTTACAAACTTAAGAGTTTATACTGCAAAGACGACAAATGGAAGCACCAGCATCAGCATCTCCCAGACAAATTATTTAATAATTTGAGGGGTGAAAATACATGGACAAGGAAAGACTGCAAGCATTTGAACCAAATATCACCTGGCTTTCCTGATTTCTGCCTTATTGAGTCCGGAAACTCATCATTAAGCCTTTGATGTCAAAATGGTGTTCTTATAGAAATAAAACAACTAGGCGCCTGTTTGGAGGTAATTCTCACAAGATTTTAATGAAAATTAGACCCGTTTGGAAATGAGGGTCTCATCTTTCAGCGACAATTTTTGACTCAATATTTGCTAAATTACCACAAATGCCCTTCATTCCAATAAAATGGATTAACTGTCAAAAGGGCACATGGGTAAGTTTATAATATTTGGTCAATAATTGCAGGTCAAATTTACTGTGTAATGCTACAAATTTTGCTGAGTATTCCTCCAACGGTCAAAATTTTCATTGAAATCCTACTGAGAATTGCCTCCAAACAAGCACTAAATCAAGGAGAGCTAGAACTTCAACACAAGACAATCTAGCCTAAGGAATATTTCCTGCTGCATTGTTTAACAAGATTACTGAACACTTCCTTATCAATACACGTAACTCCACAATTAAGCTATAAAAATTGACATTATCAACAAAAAAATAATTGTTAAAAATTTGCAATAACCCATTATTATGAATAAACTACTGCTGGGCTAGAATGACAATGCAATGTCAACATCTCCCTCCTCTAGACAGTATGTCAATGTCAGGGAATGAAATCACAAATCTAAAATTGAATAAAAATGCCTTGGTTGAGATAATACTGCCTCAATAAGGAGGCCTCCTTTGGGTGGAGACCTTTTTTCCCCTCGCTAGGTTTCTTTAGGATAGGAGATTGTTATTTGAAGTTCATGCCATTCAGTTGCAAGTTACACGGCATCATCCTAAGTCACTCAAATTTGTTTAAGATTTCTTACGAACTTTAGAACAAGCATGAACCAACACACTCTTAACATATACAGCAGAACAATTTATGTCACTTCCTTCCTTTTCATTTTTATGGGAGGGGGGCACACAAAGTTATCATGATCTAACTAAATTAAGCACTAAAAAAAACCACTTATCCAATTGAAATAATCATCGAGTAGAAAAATCATGACGAAGGTTCAACCTTTTTGTTCATTCAACAATTACAAGATATTGTTCACAAAAGGCAGAAGACATTCCTTTAATTTCAAATGAAGTTCACCTCAACAGTCTGTCTAAAAAACTAAATATTTTATTGGTCAAAAAAATCATGAAAAGTGATACAAGACCAATTTAAGTAATTTCTTAATTACCCCAACTAAGTTAAGAAAGAAAATATGTTTAGTGCATTAACCAAAAAAATAAATAAATAAATAAATAAAATAGCACTGGAAAACAATGAATTCACAAAACTACCAAAACCGAATATTATTCACTATTTAGAGTAACAATAACTTACTCAAGGAGGTATTTACGCACAAGCGTTTCCCGGGAAGACTGAAGCTCAACCAAGTACGGAAAGAGCTCTGCGGCGTGAGAAGGCTCCGCGGATAACAGTATGTCCTTGACTTGCTTCAAGGATGACAGCTTTACGGCCAAATCCCCATGGTTTTTCGCTGAAGCGAGGAGAGGGAGAGCCTGCTCCTGCTCCTGCGCCAGCCCAGCCATGGAATAATTGAGGAATCGAGGAGGAGAAGATAAGACTTTTCGAATTGATTAATTGAGGTTTCGTACGAGTTTAGGGTTTTCTACTGGTTTTAAATTGAGGAGTGGATGAGATTATAAAACGGTAGTGATGAAACATTGAAAATGGTGTAGCAACGAATGGAAAGAAAATGGTTGAATCCCAGAGGCCGTGAAGAAAGCGGCTTTGCTTAGGCAGTTTGAGCCTCATTATTCCTCTTTTTATTAAATTAAATTTTTCTTTATCCAACTTTTAACCACACAATCTACAATAAAATAATATTACACGTAAATCAAAAAATTTTCAATCGCTCATTTTTCAAAAAATACTATTCACCTCATTAAAATCTACAAATAATAGGGCTCAAACGACCCCTTAGTTCGGTGTGGGCATGAATGGGGGATATTTATTAGGAGAAATTTGTTTAAAACATCTAGTCAACAATAATATTTAGTAAAATAGGCTATGTCAATACTTTTTTATTAATTAGCCTTTAGTCTACTTTATCATGTGTTAAAAATCACCATGATCCAAAACGACATATTGTCATTATAAACCATTTGATGACGTTTTAATTAAAGTAAACAATTTTGCACGAATTTATAGTGCAATCGAGACCCCATATCTAAAATGTCATAATGTCGTTTTAAATGATTGAGTGTCGTTTCAGCTAATTTAGTATCTGTCTTACTTTATTTTCACTCGTATGCACATGACAATGAATGAGTGGAAGTTTTTATTACATTTGGACCCGAGTAACGATATAAAATTCACAAAATAATGATCAATACTATTGTTTCATGAATAAAGTGAATTAGATATATCTACAAACGAAAGTAAGTAAGTTAATTCCGATTATATTCTAATTATGAGATAAGATATTCAATAAATTGTCTCGTTTCACTTGTACAAGTCTTTTAAGATGTTTCAAGTCTAATCGACTTGTTTTGTAGTGAAATCAAGGCCTCGTCATCCAAATTAATATGATGAATTTAAAAGGCTAAATAATTTAAATTCCAATTAAAAGATAAAATACTCCACAAAATAGCTCGTTTAAATTGTATAATTCTTATATGATGTTCCAAGACATGATCGATTTGTTTTGGAGTGAAATCGAGACCCTATAATCCAAAATGTCATGATTTCGTTTTAAATGATTGGGTGTCGTTTCTACTAATTTCGTATCCACTTCACTTTATTTTCACTCGTATGCACATGAAAATAAACGAATGGAAGTTTTCATTATATTTGTACCGAATTTCGGCATAAAGTATATAGAGTTTTTGATATATGGTTTAAATGTGTGTTTATAGTATTAGATGATATTTCGAACACTAATTTACTAGTTTTATAGTGAAATCGAGACTTTTTGACTCAAAACAGCATATTGTCGTTTTACTCATAGGGGTGCCATTTAGGATATAGGATATAAAAAATATCGAATATGTAATCATTCAACATGTATAAGAGAAATTCGAACCCTACTACTTAGAACGACGTGATCATTTACAAGTATGACTGCAGTTTAGGGTATATAGAATCCATTTATTCCGTGGCCATTTTTATACCGATTTATTCGTATAGATTGCACTCCTTGAATTCATCACCATATTCACCTTTAGATGAGATAATATTATTGATCACTACCATTCATTTGTCTAGATAAAAATAAAGACTATATAATTACAATACTCCATAAAAACTATGGGTTCGATACTCTTAACTCTATTGCTATATTACAAAACTTGGCACCTTACATTTGCTTTATAAATCACTGTATAGAAAACGTGTGACACTAGACAAAAGCATCATCACCATATCTCATTTCTTTTCGATCACAATCACCCTTATAGCAAGTTGATGGACCAACTGGGCTACAATAGTATACGGTTCATTATATAGAATTGTGCGAAACAAGATTGCATTAACATTTCTCGATGAACATCACCTAACTTCTTCCCAATATAATCAAACTTCTAAAGGGGAACACTTCGTCGAAGATTTGCTTATATTTCTATCATCAATTGGAATCACATACTCAAATCAGTGTTTCATTTCTGCAATAAAAATATAAAACAATCATGTTAAATAAATAATCAATTATCGAATATGAAGAATCTATAATAATGCTAAGTGATACTTAGTGCAATATATTTTTGATATTTCTATAAAAACAGAAGGGCGCCTTTTTCAGAACTAGATACACGGCAGGATGACATTTGATCAAACTCTTCAAGACTATTGGACTCAATTCTCATTCTACTCAGTGCAGTTACAAAAGTAGTTAATATAAATAAAAACGAGACTCCAAATATCACCTTTGACAACATATAATAATTGAATAATGTATAAAGCAAGTCACTTCATGCACACGTTGAGAAAACCTTACCTAGGCCTTATTAGATACATGAATATCAGAAAGAAATCAAACAGAAAAAAACCAATAATAAATTAATCAGGTTACTTTGCACAAAAATGTGACTTACTAACATAACTATAATCGTGCACAACTCGCTGGTTAATACTCCCTCAATCTTAGATTGCATGTCATAGGTTAAACTCACATAGAGTTTTATTAAGAGCTTGAAAGGTGAGTATTCAGTGGAAGCTCGATTTTTCATCCCAAAACTAGTGGCCAACAATATTAGTCAATAATATCTCATATTTAAGAGTAATGTTAGAAGAAAATGTCTATTATAGGAAACAAGATATAAGTTCTCGACATGTTAGAAAGGATGTCAGATCATTCAATTCCAAACAGATGGGTAAATTTTGTTGTTTTTATTCCCCTCTTGAAAACCTACAACCAATTGATGTTCTATAGAACTAAGATGCTAGTCATTAGACAAAAAAAATCTCTAAAGTATGCAGACAAAAAGTCTGATTAGAATACTTTACCAACTAAACACCCCAGATAAATAGTCCACCAGCGATAAAAAAGTTCATGCCCTAAAGAATGAGTGTGCTGCATCAAAATAAAACTAGAATGAGTCCTACATGACTTTCTCTAGTAAAAGTATAGGATGCAGGTTTCTTTCCATTAAAATTTATGTTCATTTACCTAAAACTATCAATCAGTATGAGGAATAAAAATGTGAAATGAAATACAAAATTATATTTTCCTACAAAATTTTAATTCAAAATTTTTAACCAAAAAAAGAAAAAAAGAAAACATAAATGAAGAACCAAAATGCCCAAATAACATCATGAAGCATGAAAAAAAATATATTTGATTTCCTCCCTAGCTTTTCTCATAATCGTGTTAGCTACTGTACAAACTAAAATAGCTTTATATATTTTCTTCTTCTCACTGTCCTCTAACTGCAAACAAAATAAGTAAATCTACATGAAACACTTAATAACCAAAATTATTGGGTTATTCGTGAATTTCTCAAATTTTGGCACACTTTACCACGAAGCTAAGAATCAAAAAGTATAATAAGAATGTAAGAATTGATCATTAATTTTTAATAGTTGGTGAACACATCCATGGCCACGGATAAGAAGCAATCTTCAGCAAAATTTTCATATTTGTTCATCAATTTTCAATTGGGTAATGACGGGAAAAAAATCGATTTAAGTATGAGCGAAGGGCTTTATTCTTAAAATAAACATAATGAACTCTAGTAAAAAGAAATTAATCATTCCTCAATAATAATTATGTTGAAAACATTTCATTGTTACCCAAAGAAAAGAAACGGCTCAAAGAGACTCAAAAATTAAAAATTACATAAAATTCTCTAAAAAAGTACAAAGTCATAGTATTAATGAGAATAGATGAGGTTTTCAGACCTGAGGATAGCCCACTATATTATTGGTTCTTGAAACTAGAATGGGTGAATGACTCTTTTGAAATGGCAGTTTGCGATGGTGTTGAAATGGGTGGTGATAGCAACAAATGTGGATAATAGTGACAGACAGATCCTATAGTGGAAGAAGAAGGGAAGATGAAACTAAATCGATTTTGAATGTTTGAATTTGGGTAGTTTGTTAACCTTATGGCGAAGAAGAAAAGATGAGTTTGTCAAACTGGAAAGGGAAAATATTGGTTGTCATTGATGTTCAATGAGGGTGTTTTAGGTAGTTTATAAATTTTTAGTTAAAATATTTATTTTAATACTTAATTTCTGGTCAAAGGCTAAAATTAAAAAGTGTATCAGTGAATAGTCTATTTGACCCAATTTCCACTATTTATTAGGGCAGGGACTTAGTTAAATACTAGAACGAGAATTTGACTGGTTCGGTTCGATTTTCGATTTTAAATCAATAATTGAATAAGAATCAAATCTTATTATTCTACCGTAGTGTTTTTTCTTATATTTCGATTTTAATTTATTTATTTTAAATAAGTGAAATTATTTTATTTTTTTCTCAATAAATTTGTTAACTAGTTAATTTACCTCAAACTCAAAAATATTTTTTTTTTATTTCTAATTTGCAATTCAAGTCTGACTTAATCAATTAGACCTAAAATTTACCCAAATATATCATTTTACCGTAGTGTCATTTCTATCATTCTGAAAAAATCAAATTGAAACTCAACAGCACATCTAGTAATTATTGTGGGCTCTTTATCTTCCTCTTCCTATAATTTTAACAATCAAAACTATAAAGAACTCAACAAAGAAAAACGTAAAAGACACATAAAATTGGACTACGTTATTTTATAAGAGCTAAGATTGAACATATTATTAGTAGAATTAATGTAGCTTTGTAAATATTAAAAAAATTAATTATAGTACAGAACTTGGGAACCGAATGGAACCAAACTGGACTTAATGGAACCGAACATGAACGGTTTCATAGTTAAATTTGGACCATATGGTTCCACTTATGAAATACCCGAAAATTTCGGGTCCGATCTGGCACCTAGCCCTAATATTTATACATTTATGTTGTCGAATCAAGTTGTAGGGCTTCTTGGGAGACATTCGGTATAGCTAGCCCCTATGTTGGCTAGGGAAAAAATGGCATTTTCATTGGGAATAATTCAATTAAAAACTACAAAGCCTAATTAAACATTTTTTTTTTAACTTCAAAACAACATGTTTCCTTTTTTTGAAATAATTACACCATATACAATATGTATCAAATTTCCATAAATACTATCAAATGAATACCAACACCTTTACACTACCATCGTTACCATCACAGCTTATCATCGCCACCTCTTCTTACAACAA